TCTCCTGGAGGTCCTGACACTGTTCATAGGTGAAGGTTACTTTGTTTCTACAGGTTGCGATGGATAAGTTGTCACCTAAATGATGCAAAAGTAACACTGACATCACATTTTAACAGATACATTTACCAAAATTACATAAAAATATCTTGAAATATTAAAAGTGTAATTTTATTCAATGAAAGTGCCATTGGCTTCAACAACTGCCTTCTGACGATTTTGGAATATCCTACAACTCTTATGGACAGTCACCTTTTTAAGTTATTAAATGCTTGCCTTCAGATAATCTTTGGTGTTACAAGATATTTTGTTAGTCTCTCTATTAACTGCTCCCCACACATAATAATCAAGGAGGTTACAGTCAGGCAAGTTAGTTGGCCAAATGTAAGGGGTGATGTGGTCACAGAAATTGTCTGACAGCTATGACTGGGTTCTCCTGCTTGTATGTCATGGTGCACATTCCTGTTACCAGGCATAGGGTCTTCCAGCAGCCACACTCTTGAGCTAGGACAGCACTACCTCCTCAAGGCACTTGATGTAGGCCTCCATGTTGAGTCTGAGGCCCTTTGTGAAGTGAATTGCATCATGGTGCTCTTTTTCTCACAGATGGTGCTCAATTGACACTACTATACTGGGCTCTCAACAAAATCAAAAACAAACATTACACATATTGAAATTAAAAATATAAAATGGTGACAATTTTCCCATCGCACACTGTATATTGAAGAAATATTTCAATTCTTTTAGGATCATCTCACTGTGCAGGTTAAATAAGTCAGTATATTTTTTGCATATTTCCTAACCAAATACAAGCTGTTTATTCATAGTAAGGGTTACAGATTATTTTAATCTTACTTATTATAAAACGCAGATTGTGTGTGTGTGTGTGTGTGTGTGTGTGTGTGTCTGTACGTTTATATATTGGATCGGATTTCCTACATTTTTCAACTGATATCAACAAAACTTCATAAAATTACCTTGCGGTGGTTCTGACAGCACCAAAAATTGAAAAAACACAATTGTTTTTGCATGAAATCAATTTGAAAGCATGGTTAAGTGTATTGCTTATGGCCAGAAGTTACTGCCGGCTGCTCAAACGTCCGAATGCCGTTAACTTCCGGTGACTCAGCGTTTTTTTCAGAGAACGACACACAAAAAGTAAACAAATGAAATCTAAACCTACACAAGTGCTCCTAACTAAAAATAACCGGAAACTACTTTAAATACACATGGTGTCCAATTTTTTTTTACTGTATTCAATAAGTAAAAATCATAAATTGTAAAAGATTACAGAAAGGCTACTAAATGAATAAGATTTGTTAGATAATCTTACTTATTATAAAACGCAGATTGTGTGTGTGTCTGTACGTTTATATATTCGACCGGATTTCCTACATTTTTCAACCGATTTCAACAAAACTTCACTTTTTTTTTGGCAGGTAGTGTTTCTTATTGTCTTGCACACTTTTTTCTTTATTTTTACATTCAAAATGCTTTAAAAATTCCATTTACAAGACAATTGCTTATAATAAAATTCTATTCAATCGGTAGATCCATAATGAGTGAAAACAATGTTTTTGTTTGAGTTTAGTTTTGACCAATTTGTAAAAAAAAAAACTAATTAAGACATGCGTGTCCGTCAACCTTAAACAATAATCTTTGTCAATTTTATTTTTCAGTCTTTATGATGGTCGATACTTGATCTATCTCTTACTGTTACATCCCCGGGCAACACTGGACTCTACTGCTAGTATCCTATATAAATCTTCTTTAATATTTCAAATGGCTTTTCATGTCTTATAAGTCTACATATTTATCTTACATATCTTGCATCTTACACATTTATAACTCTACCATTGATGCATGCTTTGAAAATTGCTGCTACACATGATCATCTGTTGCTCCTGCTGTATATTTAGAGATTCTTGATAAAATCCTACAAGGAATCTGCAATATCATTGGCATCTTGGCTTCTGTCACCACCGCCCCTGCTGCAACATACCTTCCCTATGCCTTTACTATAAATTCTTTAATGGTATTTGTTGTGGATTCCAGGATGAAATCCGGTACCAATAAATAACAAATGCCAAGAATGAATATAGGAAAATAATGTATTAATAATACAAACTGGTAATGCAAGTTAGTAGTTCCAGGAATACGGGTTAGTAGCAAAATATCTAACAGTCTTTGGTATTGAAGTATCACTGTATGACGTCTTACTGAGTCTATGTGCTCACTCACTGTGACTCTTGATCACTACGTTCATTCTGCCTGTCTGTTACCTTACTCTCACTCTTCCGGTTACCTACAACCTTTCACTCCTCTGTTCTCTGTCTTGCTCTGTCGGGTCTTCACGTAGCAGTAGTATATGTATATACTGGGTGAGTCCATTTGTGTAAAGAGGGGAGGATCCCTCAACAGTAATTGTTCTGAATGAACTTTCCCATATGGTATTTTTATTCATATGAGAACTAATTAAGACTTCATAGAGACTTGAGGTATTATGGTGACTGTAGTAAGAATGGTAAGTAAGAAGGTCTTGTTTTGGTGTAAGGAATATTGTGGTATGTTTGGGTCAGTAATTGTAGCTAGCTAAGTTTAAGATAAGACACCCTTCCCCATCCCCCACTTTGACCTTGTGTCACATTTACATATTCTCAAAATAAATATTATGGTACCTACTCTTTATGAATTTAAGAACAGTACTAGATTGGCACCAAGATTTCATCATTTTAGATTTGGAATGGTTAGATGTAACTGTAAGATCTATTCTAAGTTTCTTCTCTTGCATTTCTTGCTTGTGGAACTCCCTTTACCAGCTTCTTGTTTACAACTCAACTTTAATCTTCAAAATTTAAATGTAACGTCAATCGTTATCTGCTGTCTTTTTAATTCTGGTTCTCTTTCTGTCCTCTTTCCTTGATAGTATTTTTTGACATATTCTCTAACACTCAGTAACTTTTGCATCTTAGTGGCTTTATTTCCTTGCTTGGTGAATTGATTAAAAAGTTAACTCTTCTTATCATACCCAATAAAATTCATTAGTGTAATCTATAAAACATAAGTATAGGTCTTTCTACATTTGTATTTCTTGATATAATAGCATTCTAAGAATAAAAATTGCATTCTTTTTCCACCTTTGAACAAAGCCACATTGATTTTGCCTGATTTTTGATCTAATTCTGTTATGAGATCTATTATTGATATTCCAAATTATAAGCTTAGTCATATCGCTCATCAAACTGATTGTCTGAAGGAGTCAGTTTTATTTGCACCTGGTTTCTTTGGTAGTATTATAAAGACAAATATACTGAGGTCTTCTGGTATTTCACTAGTGTTTTGTGTATCATTTTTTATTTTGATAACTTTATCCATCCCAAAATCCTCTGAGGCTGTCAGCATCTCAATTCCAATCTCATCTTCCTCTGCTGTTTTGTTTCTATTCAATCTTCATGGGTGCCAGTCTTACCTCAAATTTTAATACTATAGATCATTCATGTTTTTTTTGTATTGAAAATTTCTCTACCTTCTTGTCACTCAATGGATTTCAAATTAATGTGTTCAATCTTTGTGGCATATTTTCTTTTTCGTTTTAAGATTGTTCTTTTTTTGCTTTCTACCTGTATATATTTTATAATTAGCAATTTGAATTTTTACTGGCAACTGTCAAATGGAAGCCTACTTAGTGAAACTGAAAAGGACGTTATTTGATATGGAAATTGTAGCGTTAATCTGTGTTTTATCCTAGAGGATGCCAGAAATGACTTCAGAGAAGCTAGGATTGACCTGAGAGGTGACCACCTAGCCACCAAGTGCAGCCGTGAGTAACTGGTCCAGCTTTACCAAGGATGTGGGAAAGAAATATATGACAGATATATTTAGATAAACAATTGCCCCAGAGATATGAGTTGATGGATTTGTATTTTTATTGTTTATCAACACTTTGCAGATTATTTAAAGCCAAAATATATTTGGGATTGTATGAGGTTGTTTACCATACCCAATCTCCAAGCAGACCCCCATCTAAGTACTGACCAGGCTTGATACTGCTTAGTTTTAGTGATCAAAAGAGAATCAATGTTTTCATTGTAATATGACTGTAAGCCATTGAGGAGAGACTCTGAGGCATCATACATGGGAAACTAAAGTCTACAATTTGATTCGGGTCTAGAGTTGCACACACACACACACACACACACACACACGCACATGCACACGCTACTTAACAGTAGCTGACAAAGCTCAGGAGGGAATAAAATGTAACATTACTCCTGAGAATCTCATGTAATCATGATGATAATAGTACTGTATATGCACACAAGTAATTATCAGTATCAGGGTGGGGGTTGTAAAAAGAACATAATTGATTTATTTGATTTGTTTTTAAGGTTTATCAATCTTTTATAGGTAATTTAAAACCAGAACATAATTTCCTATTATAAAAATTTTTTGGAAATAACTCCTACTATTTAACCTATAGCTGGGGAAACAAATGGATTCATACCTTTTCCAATGGTATTTGCAGATAAGTGAACATAACAAACACAACAGGATTTGGAACTCCACTTTAAAATCTAAGCCATTATTCACTACACTACACATTATTATTCACTACACATCCAAGCTTACAGCACCTGGAATTCCAAAATGGTTACTCATCTACATGCAGACCAAGCTTGGTGTTGCTTAACTTTGGTGATTAAAATGATATGATTTGACACTTATGAAATGCTGAAAGATAGCAGAACAAATCTTCATAACACAACTAAAGTAATTACTTACAAAGGAATGTGAAGTCATCCAGAAAATTAACTTAGTTCGGTTTTAAAATTAAACAAAAGAATAAAAGTCTAATGCATAGAGACCATAACAAAATAAAAATAATGCAAGAACAGTGTAGATTTGTTCAAGAAATGTAAATTTTATAATCAGTATAGAAAGACATGTGATTAGACATGAGGAGTTTCAGGAAAATCTAGGAGGAATAGATTTATAAAGAAAAATTATTCACATAATCTGCAACCACTACTGTGAAAAAACAGGCTGCATGTGAAGAATAAGTATTTATAATGAAGGTAAGAGTAGGAAGAGGCAAACAGAAAGTAACCTACTAGATGTGGTTTAGTAAATAGGCAGCAGAAATAGAACTGGAAAGAGAAAAGAGATTGTAAAGATGAAAAAGAAATGCAACAAAAAGTGCAATAATGGAAAATACTAACAGTAAAAAGAAAGAACATTGGTAAGGTAGAAAAGAAATGAAAGTGAAAGAGAATTGGTAATGGTAATAGAAAATAGGAACTGTACAGAGAAATAGTATTAGTAAGGGAGAAAAAGAAATGTAAGTGAAAGAGAATTGGTAATGGTAACAGAAAATAGGAACTGTACAGAGAAAAAGAAAGAAAAAGAAGAAAAGAAGGAAATTGGTATGGGAACATAAGAACTATAAAAGGAAAGAGAATTGGTAATGGCAATGAAAAATAGGGATTGTATAGAGAAAGAGATTTGGTAAGAAAGAATAAGAATTGCAAATGAAAGAGAAATGGTAATGTGAAGGAGAATAGGAACTGTAAAGAGATAAAGTATTGGTAAGGAAGAAAAAAGAACTGTAAAGACAATGAGAATTTGAAATGTTAATAGAAAAAATTAACTGTGAAGAGAAAGATTATTGGTATCTGAAAATCCAAACCATGAAGTGAAATAGAAGTGAAAATGGCAATGGAGAAGAGGAACTGGGAAGAGAAAGAGAAATGGTATGGGAGAATAGAAAATATAAAGAGAAAAAGAATTGGTAAACAAAATAAGTATTGCAAATGGAAAGAGAAATATTAATGATGATGGGAAATAGGAACTTTAAAGTGAAACAGAATTGGTATAAGAGAATAACAATTGTAAAAAAGAGTTTTGGTAATGGAGAATATGAACTGTAAAGAGAACAAGTTTTGGTAGAAGAGTAAGTTGAATTGAGAGCAGAAAGAGAAAGACAGAAAGTAAGGAAGTTGTGATGAGTCATGATCGACCATCTGAATGGACATGGAAATATAAAAGTTGTTTTCTGTTATATTGTTTGTAGTATGTGTCTTCAAGCTATGTAACAAAAAGCTAATACCAGATTGAAGTAAAATTGATATTTGCTAAGCAGAGCTTAGCACAGCTCAAGGCAAAAAGACAGAAAGAAATTTTGATAAAAAAAAATAAATGTTCATAATAAATAACAGATTTTAATTGAAAGATTTTTAATTATTCAACATCATCCCTAAAATTTTGAAAAGACTAATGATAAAAGAACAGACTCTTTCACTTTTGTGGAATGCATATATATATATATATATATACACACACACACACATATATATATATATATATATATATATATATATATATATATATATATATATATATATATATATATATATATATATATAGATATTTGTTTACTCGTATTGGGGTTTATTCTTTGGGCTTCAAACCTGCATCTGTGCGTTTTTTTTCAACAGACTTTCATGTTTGTAGCTCTTTCTTTTTTTAAAACCTTTTTTTCCCTCAAGATTGATTTGATTATTGGCAAATCAAAAATTCGAGGGTTTTTCGAAACCAGTATATATATATATATATGTATAAGTGCGCAGGTATGCAGAAAATAGAAAAAAACACGTTGGGTGCATAATCTGGAGTTCCTTAGTATTTTTGTTTTTATTTTTAAGAAGACAGTGCTCCATACAGAAGTAGAGCTTTATTATAATAATATTTTTTTGTTTAAAAATATGATTCCTTTGCTACATAAGAGTTCTCATGTTTCAAAAACGAGAGCCAAAACCATCCAAATAATTATTAAAATTAAGTTGAATTGAGGTGTTTAGTACCGTTTCATCTTCAAGCGAAATTTTAGGAATAAGCTATCTCTCGGTTTACGTGTGTTTTTAGGCATGGTCCGTTACAAAATTTGTTATTATGGGAGTGGCTAGACTATTTTTCTTCATTAAGTGGTCAGAGAGTTAATTCTTATCAATAGATTCATCATCTTCTGAGAGGTTTTGCTAAGGTTGGGTAGGGTAAAAAAAAAAAAATTATTATTATTATTATTATATATATATATATATATATATATATATATTTATATATATATAAGTAGTGTCAAGAGAGAAATCAGCTCTGCATAGCAATGATCAGCATTTCAAGCAATCTTCAGTTTATGTTGATTTATACATCCACATATATGCTTATATCAACAAAATGTCTCCGAAAGTTAATATTCTTCACTCATCAGTATAGACAAATTTTGAATAATATGCCTATATATATATATATATGTGTGTGTGTGTGTGTGTGTGTGTGTGTGTGTGTGTGTGTGTGTGTGTGTATTGATTTATCAATTTAAACACTGTTTTTAGTGGATACCCATATTTGAGTAGATGCTCCGTCTATTCTTTTTAAATAGCATATTTATTTTCATGTAATGGCCAGGACATTTGAGAATTATTATTAAAGAAAAATGTGTCCCCTAACAGGATTCAAACCTCCATTCACCTTTGCTGGAGAAACCATCCTTAGATCTGCTTTTAACCAACTACTCAGACAAGGGTATCAACTGAAAATAATGTTTAAAATGATAGAAATATATTGGATTAATAAATAACAAATCAATATATATATATGTGCGTGTGTGTGTGTGTGTGTGTATGTATGCATGTGAAAGATATATATATATGTGTGTGTGTATGTATGTATGTATGTATGTATGTATGTATGCATATGAATATGATATATAAATTTCTATATATGTTCTGGGTAACAGAAAGACAAAATGGAAAATAATATGTACACATTTCATCCTTTTGCCCATTTGTTAGAATGTGTAGATTTTTCTGTTGAAACCATTTCAACACAAATTCCTGTTAATTCTAGAAAGATTTTGAGAATGTCTTTGAGTGTTCATTAGTTTAATTACAGGTAAAACCTTAAAAAGTAAATGATAGACATCTCTCAAATTAGCAACCCTAAGAAACAAGTGTTATATTCCTTGCTATCCATTCCCAGTAAACATTGCCTGCATTTAGAAAACTCCTGTCAGCAAGCAGCTCCAAAGTGGTTTTCAGAAGACTATCTGACAACATTCTTGAGCTACCATTTAGGGCATCTGGTATTTCCTCTCTCAGCTGAATTATAAATAAATATTGATCAAAGAGAAATTGTCAGTGGCTTTAAGGCACTCCATTCCTTTGGTTATAAACACATTTGTGATGACTGTGGCTGAAGTCTTATGCCTTTAGTCAGCAGAAGTGAATCAAATAGCCATTGGCAGGAGTGTCCGGCTGTTTTAGCCCTTTTGACTTTCCATTCTAACTGAAAACATTTGTTATAAGTCTTGTTGAAGGACAGTGGCTTTGGCAAGCTGACCAAACAGCAAATGGTCTGAATGAGTCATAAAAACACTAACTTTGCATTTGTGGTCTTCCCTGCGTGTTACGAAAACAAAACACTCGGACTGTCAGCTGAGAGGCTTTGTCCCAAGTAGCAGACTGGTCAAATTCATCAATTCACATCTAAAAACATTTGGTTCCAAAATACATTAGTGGTCCTCCCTGCTGAAGTCATATGTCTTTGGTCAACAGGAGTGATAGAAATTGCTGCTGTCAGAGCCCTCTGACTACTTAAGCACTTATTACGCTTTGATTCGGCTGAAGCCCATGCATAGAGGGACTTGCTGATGGCCAGCTGACTGATTGAGCATCCTACAATGCAAAACAAGTGACTCATGCAATATACACTTGTTTTGCTTTGCTTAGTTCAATGGTTAGACATTAGGTTTCTCCTTAAGAGAACCAGTTTTGTTTTATTTGTTGACTTACACATATGTTGGAAAAAGGGACACAAAGAAATATGATTTGCTTTATGACTGAGAATTCTTAACTTAATTATTACCAAGAAATAGAACAAAACGATTCAAAAGATTTGCATATTAGTAATATTATCTTGACTTTTATTAAATAAAGTTGTGTCAACAATTATTAATTCGGATTAGGATGACAGGGTGCTGAAAAATTCTAAGCCAAAAAGGGATTTTAAAAAATTCTAAGATTTTGACATGAGAAATGGATTTGGCAAGAACTTTTTAGCCACCATGATAATTTTTCTACTTAATTTCAAATGGCTTATTTACTCTAGTAGCATTAGATGTGGTATTGTAACTATTTACACTATTTAAATCATTTAGACTGTTGTCCGAATCTTGGTTGCCATATTCATGATGTTTCGGCAATTGTACACTTTAGCCTTCTTCAGGATCTATATTTCTGAGATGTGGTATTGTAACTATTTACACTATTTACATCATTTGGACTGTTGTCCTCATCTTTGTTGCCATATTCACAACATTTTGGCCATTAAATGTTCTTCATATGATATATATATTGGTATTTTGAACTGAACCCTTTATTTAGTCAACAGAAGTAGATTGTTCTAATTCCATGTGCCATGCCTTTTTTTGAAATCTCTCAGTTAATTCCCTTTAGTAACTCAACTCTCAAGTTTTTGTTCACCTCTGCTGTGGCCAGGTATTGAACTCACAACTCTTTGGGTCAATTCACTTTTGAATCACTCAGTCAACGCTTTTATCCATTGGGCCATGTGCCAAGGAAATCAAGTAAAACTGAGATTTTCCCCACCAAAAAAACAAACACAAATGACTATTAAAGTATGAAAATGTTGTACATTGTTTACATTATTCAGACTATTGTCCTCATCTTTGTTGCCATATTTATCACAACGTTTCAGCCATTGTATGCTCCGGCCTTCTTCAGGTGGTTGGAATGTCAAACTGAACCATTTATTTCGCTCACTGGGGTAGACTGTTTTAGATCCACGTGCCATGTTTAATGGATGTCAGTTATCAGTTATCTCCTGCCTTAACCGTGTATTGAACTAACACTCTTTGGTTCAATACCCGGTTAAGGCAGTGGAGAACTTTCAGTGGGAAATTAACAGGAGATAACTGATAACTGACATCAAACATGGCACGTGGAACTAGAACAGTCTACCCCAGTGAGTGAAATAAAGGGTTCAGTTCAACATTCCAACCACCTGAAGAATGCCGGAGCATACAACAGTCAAAATGTTGTGATAAATATGGCAACAAAGATGAGGACAATAGTCCGAATAATGTAAATAATGTACATAATACCTCATCTCTGAAATATAGACAGACTCTGAAAAATTTTGGCAGTTTATTTTCTTTCTGGAAAATCCATGAATTTGTTTTGCTCATGCTAAGTTTAAAAAAAACACTATATAAAGCCCCCATTTTCTATTCATAATGTTATTCAACGTTTTAAGAAGGAAAATCTCAAGTTGATGTCAAAATTGCTGTAAAACATTGTTGATTTATTCAAAATGGAATGATCTACTGTATTTATTTTCAATTTTTCTAGTTGAATTGTTCACCTATACTGCATATGATCCATTATTTTACATAAATGTTACAATAAAATTTATATTTTACCGTATGAAAATTGAGATTTAGTAGAGTGGAGAGAGGCCTTCATCATAGATTGTGGGGTGAGGGAATGAGTCCCTTGCACTGATGCTGGTGTACAGTCATAGTCAAATAAGCTTCAAACAGAAACCAGATTTTTTTTAAATCAGAGAAAGTATGACTTTGCAGAAAATTCAAAAGAGTAGCAGAATTTTAAGAAAAGTGAGAAAATATAGCTGCAGGCAAGTAAACGAATTCGTTTCTTCATGAAAAGCAGATATGGAAAAAAAAAATCATTCACTGCCAATATCATTGTCAGTCCCCTGATCAATCAGAAATTCATTTTTCAAGGACAAATATATATTTAGTTCTGTTCACTTATTTGAAAAACTTAAGAAATTCAAAGTGTAAAACATCAAAGCTTCGTTAAAGGCAGTTTCCAGTGACAAGAAGCAAAACAATTGTTGGTTCACTCTGTCAACCAAGACAAGTTTTCATGCCAGAATTTAGATTATATATATATATATATATATATATATATA